TGGAATTAAAACCAGAGATCAAAGTGGTCCTGGCCTAGTGCTCCTATACAGGTGGGAAGTTTAGCCTCCCGAGACACTCAGCTACTTGTTATTGGAAACTTAATTGGGACCATTGCACAGCTTCAATTAGCTATTTTAATAGATGCCACCACGAACGATTCCAGTGGGAGGCAGAGAAAAACATTTATCCACTGAATCAGTGCATTCCTCATCCAGTCAAGGCCCCCGATACTTGAATAAAGAAAATAACTTCTTTATCAGGGGGATGAACGTTTGAAATCAATAACAATTAACACAACTGATGCAATCAATTTATAAATGCACATTGCATCTCACTTAAGAGGTCGGAGGACTAACATGTTGCACCTTTCTTGGAATTGAATTCGAGCTTATTGAATAACGGCTCACGGAGTCTCGACAATCGCCCCAGCCGCACGGCTTAGGATAGGGGGTCATGGTGACAGAGCACACAACTCTGTACACAGTGCACATCCGTAGCTTCCAATGCTGGACTGTGACAAATTCATAAATACACCTACAGGCAACCTAAAAATGGCTGGATATTTTCAATGTGCGGTGTTCACAAAATTTTCCGAATCGAAATAGATTTCTCGGAATGTGTTCAGGACCTTTCGTGTGCAAAAGATAGGGTCTGTGAGCACTGTGCATTAAATGTATCCAATATTGCATTTCATACTTCTGATTCTATACCACCATTTACATTCATACAAAAACCACTATCTCATTTTCACTGCTGGTGATTCTTGAAAAAAAAATTCCTGCATTCAGGGTGTCTACCTCTTTGAAAAGCACAAATAAAAACTCACCACATTTGACATTAACGTTGCCTTTGCAAGATAAATAAATACACAAATATAAAAGGCTAGGATTTTAAGCAGTGGCTCTTCTCTAGAGTATACTTGCTTTGAATATGTTGTACAATTATTTTTTTCATGTCTGTTCATTCTTTATATTACCATTGTAATAGCTAATTAATGTGTTTACATAGAAAAACATCAATAACCCCCCAGGACTCTTTATCAGACTTGTTCTGCTTATGGACATTTAATTCTTTATTAAAACCTCTCAAAGAAGTACAGATTTGAAGTGACAGCCTCTCTAGTTATGGGGTTGTCTGGCAACTTGCACATAATTAATTCATGGTTGTCTTCTAAGCTTTACTTATAATTACATATAATACCTAACACATTTAATGAACACATCATAACAAAAAACTGAGCATTTGCAACTTCATATTTTTTATTTAGGAAGACAAAAAAAAATCTACCACTCTACAGTTTAATCCAAGTCACTTACCATTGCTGTGATGCAGAGGTGGAGGTCTGATTGTTAAACCCAAAAAACAGGCTGATTTTCATGGGCTTATGAATTGGTTTTTGTAAGGAAATATTAAATAAATAACAGATAGCGAGAGCCCTAACAATGTATGTGGAAGATCACTGCATTCAATTGCAAAAGTTCGCCGATTTACATAGAGTGCATAAACAATATAACCCTTTTGAATTGGCATTATCATATTGTACTCAGCTTAATTATCGCGTAAAGCGTTCGAGTCAGAGTACTTTTTGTTGTTGTTACCGATTTTTGAAAACCGTCTGGTTATTCCCGAGTTCCAAGTTCAAATACTCGAGCCCCACTTCGTGAGAGTTTTTCCGCATTTGAATGTGGCAGGTAACCAGAGTACTCAGAGACAACAACTTGCACACCAAACTGGGCAGAAAACTACTTACTATACTGCCTTCTAAAGCTACATTTCAAACACTACAGGTGGATTTATCAGATACAGATGAATTCTGAGTGATCTACCAACCCTATGGCTAAAGCGCCAGACGACAGGCATGTGTCATCATGTCTGACTGCAATAAAAAGTGTGTTCAGCTGCCGAAGATACATTGGCATTAACGTTTCAGTCAAATGGCATTGCACTCTGCTAAGGTTGCTGGTGAAGGTGTTTTGTGGGAGAGCCTTTCCCCTGAGTCTCCTGCAGTTGCAAAGCTGCAGCAGCTGACCCCGTGTCACGTTTGTGAGGACACAAATCTATCATTAAAGCGTAACAATGCTGCATTACAGCCTCTCTAAATCCATCTACCTGACTCTTTGGTTCTTTCGGTAAAGTCACATAGATAAAAAAATAACTAATAAATCATGATGTTTCGATAGCAACACAAGCCATCGTCTTCAGGTGAAACAACACAGCAGGCGGACTACTGAGGCAGGAGGAAATGTAGCGAGAGAGCCACCGCAAACCACAGGCCACACACGCCTGGTGGGCCTCAACCCAAGGGCAAGTGAGTGGGACTAGGGATGGAATTTGCAAGCAAATCCGAGGGGGGGAGGGAGGGAAGGGGCTGCCGCAACGGGCGAGAGGGTGGGGGTGAAATTTACAGAGGGTACAAGGTGATAGAGAGAAAAAAAAATGTCAAACTTAGCAAACTTAGAAATGTTATGCAACTCAGAGAGTCGACCAACCCAACAGCTAACACTATACTGGGTTGATCAACGTTCTTCCAAAGATTGCTAAATTTAGCATCCATCTTCTCAGTTTAAGTCATGTCTGAGTTGTGTGGAAATCCTCCCCGTAGAGGTGGTTCAATCTTGATTTGAAGCTGCAATCCTCAAAACGCTAAGACACCTATTAGCAACATCAGTAAAGATGAGCGCTTTGAGCTTTCTCAATTAAGATAGAAAGATGACATCGTCATCCTCTCAGCCGACAAGGGCAATGCCACAGTTATCATGGACAAAACCACATACAATAAAAAAAAATTCAGGACCTACTTAATGATGGTAGCTATACCAAAATTAAAAGAGATCCCACCAACCGCCTCGTTACGAAAACCAACAGTATCATCACTGATTCGACATCTTTGATCGAACTAATCAAGCGGTTTTCCTTAAAACCCTCTGCTGCTAGACCACCCAGATTGTATGGCTTACCAAAAATCCATAAAGAAGGGACACCCCTTCGTCCTATCGTCTCCACCAATGACTCACCCACCTACAAACTGGCCCGATTTCTGTTTGAGACCTTACAACCATTCACTGGTAAGACCACCTCAGTTGTACTCAACTCAGCTTACTTGGTATCATTAATTAAGGACATCTCACTATCTCCAGGTGATTTGCTCGTTAGTTTCGATGTGGTCTCTTTGTTTTCCAAAGTTCCTGTGCTTGACACCATTGTAATTATTGAAGATTTGGTTCAACAAGGACTGAATGCTGATGTACCGGCCCTCGTGAGACACTGCCTCACCAACACGTACTTCACCTGGAATAGAACATTCTACAAACAAGTTGAAGGTATCTCAATGGGTCCCCCCTTATCTCCAGTTGTAGCCAATGTTTTCATCGACAAATTTGAGACAAATGCCATCCAGGCATCCACTCTACGTCCGTCCTTGTGGAAGAGGTACGTAGATGACACGTTCGTCATCTGGCCACATGGCCGACCAGCTCTGAACCAATTCCTCAACCACATCAGTTCCATACACCCAGCCATCAAATTCACCATAGGGGTGGAAAAGGATGGCAAGTTACCATTCTTGGATGTTTTAATCGAAAAGAGACCAGATAGCTCAATGGGACACTGTCTACAGGAAAGCCACCCATACGGATGCCTACCTAAAACCTGACTCCCACCAGCATCCATCCCAGAAGAATTCCCTCATCAAAACTCTACACCATGGAGCTCGATGTATTTCCGACCGTCATCACCTAGCCAGTGAACTGGAACACGTACACCAAGCTCTCAAGATTAATTGATATTCAGACTACACAATTTGTAAAGCTATCACCCAAACCGTTGGGAAATAACCATCTGAGGACCCAAACAAAACCATCACCTTGCCATACATAGCAGGGGTCACTAAAAAGATTTCCAAAATCATGAGCAAACACAAGATCCAAGTGCGATTCAACACAGTACATAACATTCGTGATCTGATCCCATCTGTGAAGGATGTGATCCCTGACATGCAATATCCCGGTGTCTACAAACTAAGCTGTGCCTGCGGCAGTAGTTACATTGGGGAAACCCAGCGACATGTCTCGGACCGTGTTCAGGAACATAAGGCATATCTGAAACACGGTAGGACCAATACCTCGGCCGTGGCTGATCATTGTTTTAATGCGGTGGGCTCACACGAAATTGATTTCTCTAAGACGAAGGTACTCTGCAAGCCCAATGGCTATCAACAAAGATTCGTTCATGAAGCCATCCATATATCTAGACACAGACACAATTTCAAAGGAGAAGATGGGTACAAGCTGACCAATCATTGGAAGGACGTTATCAACCAGTTTAAGTCATAATTGGCTATGATGTTCCCATCCTACCACCGTCCGATGTTAGTTGTGCTTAACGCCCATTTCAAACTTGCGCTTTCACAGTCACTTCACGCGCCGACTCCTTGGATGCGGCTCTGTGATCTTCCATTAACATGCTAATCTCTCTTTAACATGCTAATTTTAACCTGGCAGCCCTTTGATTGGTGGAAAACGAACCACAGCCGGGCTCGCTGCCGAACACTTACATTATCATTGGCTGCTGACATTTTAGCTATGCCCATTTCAAACCCTTATAAAGAGTTTCCCTTGGAAGCTAACCCCCCTTTTCCTGAAGACGACCACTTGCGTTGCGATCAAAACGTCGTAGTTTTTGTTATTTTTGATGCTTTTCTTTGAACCTATCTACGTGACTTTACCGAAAGACCCAAGAATATGAATTCCTGCAGTCACGAAAGCTTTAAGTCAAGATTACTTCAGAATTTATCTTAATGATAATGAATGACAACAATTTTCTCTGTTCAAGAATCGATCTATATTAAGTGAACGGTGAACATTCCCTCCACAAACGACCGCGTGTGCGCAGAGTGGGACAAATGAGCAAATTTCAACAATCGTTGATTCTAAGATACCATACACACCATCCAGCAAAGCCACCACCTCCCCAGTGATCCCTCCCCACCACAAACTTCTACCTCGTAGGCACGAGAGCCTGTGATGTCCGCCAAGGACTGAGCACCACCCAGAGCCTTCTCCAGCTGCCTGCACTCAGTGGCCGTGCTCGAGTCCATCCACACAGGCACCTCGTCCAGCGAGAAGCACCCCTGCCTCAGAGGCACAGTCCAGGGGGAGGGGGGGGGGGGTGGTGGAGGGAGGCAATGAAGACAGAGAAACCGGCAATGTGACCTCACCTTCAAATATCCCCAAATATGAGTTCGGACAGGATTGGTTTATGGTCCTAAACTTGCGTAGAGGAACAATTTTGGTTGAGGAAGTTGCCCCTGTGCGATGTACAACTTATGGATTAATAATCAGGCTGATTGTTTACCAAGTTTTATATCTGTGGAGTCACTATAGCATGCATGAAGCACATACTGGGTATTAACCTGCCGAAAGGAAACCAAGTTGCCCTTGCAAACTATGGAATGGAATTCACTGCATTCTCATATTATTGAAAAGTCAAGGGTCTCCATGCTTAAAAAAAGCATTGGGTCGTGATCATCTCCATTTGCAATCATCAGTCAGCATTGGGAATTCCTATTTAGATTGTTTATCTTTCCATTGTGCAATCACTATTGACTGCACACAAAGTGACTCCAATCTTATCAACCACGAAGGGAAGAATGGGCTGAACTGACCACCAAATGGCATTTGTGCTCAGACACTGCCACAACACCATCCAGCCTGCTTCTCATTGAATGCATTTACTCAAAAACGTCTCAATGAGTCCTAAGGCCTTTTAAAGGAAAGGCCTGCATGCAGTGTTGTGTCAATTATTTTGATTATTTTATTTTTACTTTTATCTATCTTTTAGCATTTTGGAAGAAACCAAAATATCTGTAGAACGTCCTAGCACAAGACAGCAAATCATAAAATTTTTTTTGCAGACAGGTCAGATACATCTCTCTTCCATCTGTAGTATTGCCCCCACTGCTTTGTTATTACCTCTGAGTGGGCATCTCGCATGTGATAATGTCTCTTCCTGCAGCCCGTGATTCAGGACTCACATCCCTGTGTGAACCATCAAATCTAACCTCCGCATGCTGGATTTAATTCCCGCAAACGCTTTAGATCGAGAACAAGTGACTGATGTATTCAGTGGCGGCTCCTGCAAAATCTCTCAGGGGGGGGCAAATGTCTGGATGATTGATAAGGATAAGGTCCACCCATGCAAAGGATAAATTAACAGCTTAAGCATGTAAAGGCAACTTCACTTCTTTAATATTAATGAAAAATAAAGTGACTCTTACAATACATCTTGTTTGTTTCTATACTCACTATTAATACAATCCACTCAAGTTTATTTTATTAAAGATTCCACTAGGTGGCAACAAATACAATTGTTGACTGAAACGTGCTTACGTATGATGACGTAAGCACGTTAGTGTGAGACCTCCCGGAAGCCATAGAGAATGCATTGGAGCGCCCTCCGTTCGAAAAAAAACATCTTTGAATGTAAGTCTATGGGAACACTCTGGGCGATTCTCAGCCGGAGTGAAATCGCCCAAAAAGAGGCGGTACTCCACAGAACGTGACATGACGCTGATTGGACTATATCCAGAGGCACAGTGACGGCTAGCGTGACTCTGTGGTTGAATGACATTGGTGGTGCGTCGCCCAATCGCCCTAATGAAGAAACCGCCCCTGGATGTATTATACATAAACAATATTGTCAAGAACATTTACATGATTGATTTGCAGGTAAAATAAAGTCTTTCAAGTATAGATTTGGCACAATTTTACCATTTCAAAAAATTGCTGATTTCCATCAATATATTTCTTTGTGATATTGAAAAAAACAAAAACATTAAACTGCAAGAGAGTTGTTTTACAACAAGATGAAGTCAGCACATTTTGTGAGTAAGCACTGCAGATTTCGAAAACATGAAGCACATTTATACGTCCAGTTAAAATAGGGGGGCACTTCCCATCATGTTGGTGGGAGCATTTATAGCTACATAAAGTGTGAAATAGCAGCTAATGGCTGTTTTTTACTCGTAGTTCACGTGAAAAATGAGCATCTAGATTCTCATCTGGCCAGAAATTAATGGCCAGTGAGGTTACCGGCACTGCTCAAAAAGAGAATGTTATTTAACTAGGCTGCTTCTTCTGATGAAAGTCAGAAAAACAAACCAGTCGACAGTTTTCCATCTTGAACAAATGCTGATGGAATAGAGTTGGCGAGGAACTCCCATAGGGTGATGAACTCAAACAATTTGAACAACATATAAAGATGTGCATTGCATGTAAAAAAAGGGTTTCAGCCTTACATGTCAAAAATAACTGGATGAGACTAAGACCTTTTGTACATGCAATGCACATCATCTGTGTTGTTAAATCTATTTGTTGAGTAGACACTAATTTGTTGTTGGGATGGGTTTTCTTATAATTTAAACTGAATTACTCAACGATAGTATTTTTTTTTATAATTTGAACGTATCCATATATGTGTGCACAAACATTTATGGGTCTCATGTTTACTTCGACGGCACCCTAAGAAAACAGGAAGACAAGGACAAAGATGTTTCCCCCCTCCCTCCCTATAGCCTATAACAGACTGTTGAGGCAAGCGCTGTTAGCGAGCACCTAACAAGGCCGGCACGGCACACGAGGGGGTGGGTGGCCAGCACCACGCCTGGCCGCCTTTGTCTCCCTCGTGGCGATGTTAACACACTACGCTAGATACTCATTTGGGGCTATGTCGACCTAGGGGAGTGTCCAGGGCCGGTTCAGATCATTCTCACTGGTGTAGGCCGTCAGTGGGAATCGAACTTGGGTTGCCGGGTTCGTAGCGCAGCGTGATAACTGCTACGCCACCACTCCCCAGTAGCCACATGTTTGACATACAGGACAGTATTCTCTATTCCAATATGCCTCACTCATGGTGCTTCCCGTGCTCCATGGTTGACATCTTGTGACCACACCTTGAAATTGCAGGGAAACGCTGATATAAAGCAGAGCTCTGCATGCAATTTCACCATAAAGCCGATGCTATTATGTTGAATGAAATTGTGATCAACTCGGCATATGCATAGTGCTGCTCAAGCGCTTTTAGACCAGGACCTTTCCAGCTTTTGCTATTAATCCAGTCGATACGTTCATAAATGGCTTTGGAATGTCAATGGAGACGAGATACATTTGGACTTCACATCGCCAGCAGGATCAGCTACTTTTAGTTACATTGTTTTTCAGGTATTCTCTTTGCAAATGTGTATATATAATAAAAAAAAACATGTTCGACTGGAATAATATGAAAGAACAATGATAGAAACTCAACTTAAGGATAATTATCCTTAAGTTGAGTTTAATGCGATTGTAATCGCATTAAAGTATCTTGACTAACCGCGAGCTGTCAATGTATCTTGCTTTGCGCACCCACAGGAGAAACCGCAAGGTGTCCAATTGCACTAATTACAATGCAGCAGAGGGATCTGCCTCATGCTAAGCTCTTTAAGAGCCACCTTTAGGCATGAATTGACCCATCCATAACCACAGCCTTACCTGCAAGGTCAGGTGGAGGGGGCTAGAGGCTGGGACGTTGTGAAGGGTTTCCCCAGCTCCCTGTCGCCAGTACACTGAACCGTGTTGCTGCATTCATTCATTGGAGAGCGCAAAAGCACAAGGCATTATATAATCAAACTGCAGTGTAATGTCATGAGAATGGCACAATTGCATTTATAGCATCAAACAGCCATGATCACTCCACTGCTGGATGAAGGGTTCCCATCATCGTCTCCATCTCTCGTGTACGTCAACTTTTACCCCTCTACCAGTGGAGCAGCACAATGGTTAGCGCACTGTGCTATGTACCTGCTGACCTGAGTTCTTTTCCCAGCCACACACATTGTCACAAGATCAGATTTCTGAGCTCGTGATTCCTGTTTGTGTTCTGAGTTTCCTGTGAGCCAGGCGTGGCTTTCCAGTAAATGAGCACTTCTTCATATATATAGAAAAAGCTCATCAGCCGCAAAGCTATGTATACCATTGAGGTTTAACTTGATCTAGTTTACATTTCTATAACCAAGCTTAACAAGGCCTATGGAGTTATAGCCAGAAATTTAGCCAATAATATTTTATTAATTATATTTATTGTTGAACACATGCCTTTTATAAAGCAGTGAAACAATTATGATTTAGAACAGTGACCAAGTACACGATACTATTTTCTATGTTAGCATATTCGATTTGTTTAAAATGGCCATATGCTCAATAACTGTACATCTTTGATGAGAGCATGTATCCTTTTCTGGGCTCTGTGTTTCTTTTGAGTGATAATTTGGACTCAAAATCGCTATCCTTTACTAGACCTCCTCAGGACATATGAAATGGCGCTTCCAGTTCTTTGTAACTTGACTGCTAAAATGTTTGACGTATATGGATGAATGTCCATGGAATTGTGTGTGAAAGGAACCAGTTAAATTACGTTGAAATGCCCTCAAGCTATGTGAATAAAAGACAGATTTTTTTTCAGGATCGGCTAGAAACTTTGTTACTGGAGAAAAGCAGCATTAAATTATATCCATATAATGTAACTTTGGTTGATGAAGATGAGTACGAGTTTCAAAGATGTCCCCAGAAGACGAACTTGCTTTATCCATTTAAATTAATATATTCACCTGCCTGTCTTGAGCAAGTGGTAAAAATTAACATGCAATGTCGAGCATTGACAAATGCACCCAGCTCACTGCTTCTAATATTCAAGAGAATAAATGCATTCCGTAGGTGGTAAAATGTTGGCATTTTCTTTCACTATTAAACACAATTGTGTATCAGATCTCATTTTGGATGATTATAGAATCACATACTCTTCAAGCTTTACCATACAATATTTTACTATATTCATCTTGCTATGGTTCATAAAGAGTCACAAATGCTCAAAAATGTATTCAGGTTCACTTCTAGGCCTAAACCAGCAGTGAAAAATCCAGATTATTTTGGCAGTAACCAGTCTGTAAATATCAACACCACTGTTGACTCATCACAAAGCACTACGTATTTAATTAATCTAATTTATACAATGAACCGAGGTTTATCCATAGCTGAAAACTAAACTTCCAAATATCAATATACATGTTGGGAGATCTGTAACATCACCATCCAGTTGGATGAGCCACAAACATTTAAGCAACAGAAATGCCCAATTACGTATGGCTGAAAAAAAACGTTTCTGCAAGTGTAAATGATACAGAATAGGAATGGTCTCCCTTTATTACTGCTAATCCTACATAATACACGAGCATAATGACTTTGAGACCCCCCACCGCCTACACATACCGCAAGGAGAGACTAACCCCATATCTGCATTTGTCATCAATATGCTACATTCATCTGTTGATATGTAAACTCCTTTGTCAAGGCTCTCTCCTCCTCCCACCCAGCTTAAAATACGCTGCCAAGCTTGGCAGTGTTCATTAGGACGCTGTCTTTCCGACAGCTCTATTTCTTCACCTGATGACAGCTGCTTGCGTTGCGGCCGAAACGTCATGAGAATTTCATTTTATGTTTTATTTTTATTATTTTATTATTTCCCTTCTACGTGACTTTACCGAAAGAACCAAGAATATGAATCCCTGCAGTCACGAAAGCTTTAAATGGAAAGATACAGGGTGGTTCTATGATTTAGTAGCAGAAACAGAGGTACACACCTGGCCACTGCCAGATAGCACCGCCACTTGTGACAGATCTACACCAGACTGCACCAGTCGTTCCAGTGTCAAATCTATAGCCTGGGGGGGTGGAGGGGAGCAGGTGGTGACAGGGTAAGGCAATATTGTAAAGAAAACATGGACACAATGCTACAAGCTTAATTGCACTTTGATTGTATGCCTACTTCACCTATCAACTCTGCATATTATAGTTATTTCACACGCTTGCGCAAACACATGAGCACTGAATACAATATATTCAATGATGTATACTGCTAACCATAATGTAGCAAAGATGTATTCTCTAAATTTCAAAAATGACATTCAAATTAAATAAAATCAATATAAGGATTTTTTTTACATGTCTATGCCACATTCACAAAATCGTATATTTTTTTGCATGAAAAAAAACCAATCTAGTTTTCACCTCATTGCGTAAGTTCACACTGTTGTTGCAAGCATTACAGCTGTATAAGTTTAACAAATGCACTCTTTGGTTGTCTGAGAACAATCTGATGCACAGCAGATCTCGTGCATAAGGGCACAATTATACCTCGTTATCGGATTACCATGGCCACCAGTTCGTCAGCTTTCATAAAAATCGGTTCAGACAGACCGAATAACCGAGAGCCAGACTCCAAAGGCTAATTTTTCTTTCCAAGGGCAAGTGAACATTATTAAAGGCCCTCAAGACTGAAAGCAGTGAATGGTCAGTGCGACGTGCAGGAGTGCTCACTTTTATGACTCATCATGATTACAACGCGGGGATTACAGCGTTATTTGGCTTACCTCCACCCACATCAGCACTGGCGAGGTCACCGTCAGCTTGTCCTCGTGAATGTGAACACCACCTTGGGTACTAACAGGAGGGAGGGGGGGCAAAAAGGTTAAATTTGGGGAAAAACTCATTGTCTAAATCAGTAGCTATATTAATGCACTTTACACGAAGTTCATCTTTATGATGTAAAATATCAATCTATCAATATATTTTACATACTATAAATTTGGATTTGTAAATATATATTTTAATGTAGCTTAACAAGGCATGTTTATTGTATTATGCAGTAGCATTTGTTTCACGAGTAAAGTAAATATTAACTCCAGGCAAAAATATTGCATATGTTGCCCATTAATAATGTGATGCAATTAGCAAGTTTAATGTGGGAAATGCCATCGTACTTTGCCTGCTGTAAATGGTCATAGATACCCAGTGTTATAACTATTCGGTGCATCGCCAAAATTTCCACTCAACCAAATTATACTGTACTATACCACATAAGAGAATAATATTATGCACATCAACGTTTTAAGATATGTAAAGAAAAATTGGGACTGTCGAAAAAAGGCATACAAAATTTATAATCTCTGATTTTCTTATGACCTAGTCATAACATCCAATAGAAATGTCAGAGTAACGTATTAAAGAAGGCTGTAAAGTTTGGCTCAGGACGAATATGAGCAAAACAAAAGGTCATATACAAAATGTCCTTAGGCCTAGACATTGAAAAGGCAATACAAATCGTTGTAAATTGTTGCAAATCATCCAAGCTCTCAAAAACCGATACCTAAATATATTAAGAAGCAAAAAAACTAACAGAGCGAACAACTACACTGGGATTATAAGAATCAACAAAATACAGTATTCGAAGGGGAATCATATAAGGAGACACGTTTTCACCAGTTATTCAGTGACATGTTTTCCAAAAATTTATTGGATTTCTTCTTTCTTAAGTTGTGTTGTCCCTGTTGCAGAGATAAGCCATCGATTGTTACAATACCAAAACAAGTTGTCAATCTATGTCGAGGTTCTTTAGTCATCCAACAGCATTGGTTGTAAGCTGGTGAATTGCTTTGGTGCCTCTATTATATCATCTTAACGGGCAGTTGACCATGTGCTCCAATGTTTGTTCCGCTCTAGTCACAGGTGAACCGTCTCTTGTCTTCCACTTGTGTAGTTGACTATATACTATATAGTCAACTGGTGGGACAAAGTCATTGTTATGCAAGTCCAAGTCGAGTCTGAAGTCATCAAATTCATGACTCGAGTCCAAGTCACATGACTCGAGTCCACACCTCAGAGGTGGGACAAAGTCATTGTTATGCAAGTCCAAGTCGAGTCTGAAGTCATCAAATTCATGACTCGAGTCCAAGTCACATGACTCGAGTCCACACCTCAGAGGTGGGACAAAGTCATTGTTATGCAAGTCCAAGTCGAGTCTGAAGTCATCAAATTCATGACTCGAGTCCAAGTCACATGACTCGAGTCCACACCTCAGAGGTGGGACAAAGTCATTGTTATGCAAGTCCAAGTCGAGTCTGAAGTCATCAAATTCATGACTCGAGTTTGACTCGAGTCCAAGTCACATGACTCGAGTCCACACCTCAGAGGTGGGACAAAGTCATTGTTATGCAAGTCCAAGTCGAGTCTGAAGTCATCAAATTCATGACTCGAGTCCAAGTCACATGACTCGAGCCCACACCAGTATATAGGCACTAATATTTTGCCCAAGGACGGGTGTATTGCAGTAAATCAGAAACTTGCAAGCAAAAAGCAGACCGCAACGTGATATGCATTGCATCCATGCGTGTTCAATTTGTAAGGGCGCGGTGACACAGACCTATTTCATTTTTAGGTTATAATCGCTTGTTCATCGTGACGTCCTTTTTACTTTGATGTCTCAACAGCGTGACGGAGATCACGTGACGTGAGGGTCCTGCCTTTGTAGTGAGGGTTGGAAGTTGACGCCGAGAGGGGAGGGGGGAGGAGGCGCCTCGCCCCCCCCCATGTGACGTCACCCGCTAATTATTATCCATGAAGGGGGGGAAGGTGTCCATTTGGAGGACGTCACCTTATGATTATTAATGAGGGGGGCTGTTCGATGTGGAGTGACGTCACCTGCTCATGATTATTAATGGTGGGGAGGGGGGAGGTCCATGTGTAGGACGTAACCTGTTCATGAATATTCATGTGAGGTGGGCTGGTCGCCGTGGAGTGACGTCATGCGCGGGAAACACTGACATTCTTGGCTCATTATAGTAGTAAATTGGACTAACCTTTTCAATAAACGTCACATTTAAAGCGAATTTGCGTAAACATATTTATTTCCGCTCGACCTTCTTCTGCGGGAGTGGAAAAATCCACCCGCTCATGATTAGCAGTGTGCTGCGTATATTTATTTTTTACCGTCACTTTCTGTAAAGAAATGTCATATTTGAAGAGACTTTGGGTAATAAATTATTTAATTCAGCTCGACCTTCCGCGTTAGTGTAAAAATCCACCCACTCATGAATATGAATGACGGGGGGGGGGGGGGGGCCTCATGTGGAGTGACGTCACGCAGGTGTGGGCCTCATGTGCTGTGACGTCACGCAGGGGGGGTGGGCCTCATGTGGAGTAACGTCACACACGGGACACACATTATAGTGGTAATTGCACCGATTCCCCATCGTCCAGAGTTTAGAGGGGAGCAAGAAGCCAGGAGGGGCTTCTTTTGGGTCGCTGTTGAGGTCTTTGTTGGTTACTTGTAACTCTGTCTGATTGTTCGCCATCTGTCCAATTGTGATACATTGTGGTTGGCATTTGAATCACTGACCAGAAAGTGTGATAGGATTTCAGGTGGGTACAAGGGGTGCGGGGTCAAGTAAAAATAGTTGTGAACCGGCAGTTTGGAGTTTGACAAAGGAAAACACTACAGGGAATGATTGAACTTAGTAAATCTGGCAAGTAAAGCTCGCGATAACTGAGCAGAACAAACTATTTTTTTTTACCAGGCAAGGCCCGCTAAGCGAGACAGCTCTTGTTCAGAAGTGACCTGGCCACAAATGATAGCTCAACGAAGTGGCTTATGTGGACATGCATGTTTCTAAATGTGGAGGGAAAAACCGGAGGACCCGGAGAAAAATCCATGCGAGCACGGGGAGACAGACATGCAAATTCCAAGTATACAGGTGTCAGGGTCGGGATCGAACCCACAAACTCCTGTATACCAGGCGAGGTATGCAAAACGAACGTGCAACAAGTTGACCAAGCAACTGAAGATAGCGTTCCATTCAGACTCTGTCTACTTGACAGACCTGTTCTCCACCTGAAGACGGCTGCTTGCGTTGTGGCCGAAACGTCGTGAGAATTATTTTATTGTTTTATTTTTATTATTTTATTACTTCCCTTCTACGTGACTTTACCGAAAGAACCAAAAAGAAAAACTGAAGATATCTTTCAGAAGATAGCAGCTAGAATATATATCACAGTATATATACCTAGAGCAGCTGGTAAATGTCGACAGGGAACAAAATTATTTAAGAGAAAGATAAGAACAGTTTGGAGTGCTTTGGAAAAATGAACTAAATGTACTCTGGTACAAATCTTCTTCCTTACATGTTCATATAAAACTATGCTTCTAAAGTCTTCTTGGAAAAGAGAAGATTAATCTCAGTGGGCTCATACATGGATAACTAAAGAATGCTCTACTGAGATGAATCAATTAACGTTGGGATTAAACCTCCTTTGATGCCATTGCTAACAACTTCCTCCTCTGCGCCTACTCATGGATGGCCCATCAGTATAAAGAGCCTAAGCGCAGGCATACCGCCATGGTACATGTTCACAAAAACAAGTATTCCTCCACCCGACTAAACAACAAGTGACGTGCCTATCCCATACAGTCAATATATTTTATGAATGCGATATAAAATATACTGCATATGTTTTTTGTATAGGTAATTCGTTCACTGTCCAATCACCTGAACATTGTCAATGCATTACAGCATAAGCCCACTGTAAATATGCTGTAATTATGCTAAAATAAAATGCACTGCGGGGGCCAATTTATCCACATAAACTAACGATTTCCCACAAAGCACTACTCATATTAACAACACTAGACGTATGATTGGCTAATTAAATACCCAGCTGAGATTTGAATTTGCAGCCTTCTGATTGTGAGATGGGTGCTGCAACATTATCTGGCTGAATGGTGTAAGCAAACAACAGAACAAGATATTTCATGAGGACCTCTTTAATCCTCCTGGTGCTTGTGAAACAAACCCCATGGAGGTGTATGTCACATTACACAATTATCAGTGTCGTTAATCTGCAAGTCATTTGGTGCTGTCGGGACATTAACTGATAACCACGTTGTTAATTATTGTTGCAAATTTCTCTTGTACAAGCATGAAAGTTGATAATCTAATGTCAAGAGTCACTGCACAATGTGGCATTTGGTAATTGACTAAAATGAAATAAATATTGCTATCATCCATAGAGATGAGCCTTTTAACAGAGATGTTACAGGTGGGTATGTGGCATATACTGTCCACTTTAAGATACATAATACAAATTGCATATAGTGTTATCATAGTTGTAAGCACATCTAGGCCACCTCAGTATATTTATATTACCATCAAGTAAGTGTGATAGTGTTTTATTATTTAATACATATTATTTAATAAATATGATTACACTTGTAGATCAGATGAAGTATTTTTCATACAATTTACATTCAACTGCATTTTGCATCATTGCCCCATTTCAGTGCTCTGGTCTCCAGCTCATGAACATCTGAGGGTCTCAACAAGGTCAAGAGGCACCACCTGAATTTGGGCAGATCCTTGTCAAAGTGGACGTGGACTTCCGTCAGCACAACGAGCTGATCATCCAGGACCATGGCTTTCACCTGTCATTTGAATACAGAACGAGTGTTTCCACAACAATATCTAGGCAATCACCAACTACAATCCTCCCCATCACCAATCACATCTCCACCATTTGATCCACTACAATCTCTTAGCACGTCATTCATGCCAATATCTAGCACATTATACCATACACTTATCTCGACATCAACACCCGCTCCACCGCATCATTCACCACAGCACCTGGGCATGATGGCGCATGGCTTTACTGGTAGGAACCTCCTGGTTACACCACCCCACAGGAAATTATTGCGTCCGTCCGTCGTGCAGGGAGGGGCTGGGTGGGGCTGGGTGGGGCTGGGTGGGGAGGGGCAGGGTGGGGCTGGGTGGGGGGTGGGAGGGGTGGGGCTGGGTGGGGAGGGGCTGGTCAACCCGTGGTGCCCTTATAAAACTCAACGTTTAACCAACTCACGCCGGCTTATGCCCGCCCTCACAGTCGGGCATATTTGCGGAATACACCACGCCGCCGTTGACCCTGGCCATTGACCGAGCAACCCAACGTTCCTACCAGCTCCCTCCGCAGGAATGTGTTAATCCATCACTTTGGAGGCCAATAGTCGATGGACTGAAGCTACCAAACCTGATGGGCTGTGGTAAGGAGATGGCAGTACAGCGAGTATGTTGTACACCCATCTGTGCAGATGTGTTTTACATTAAAATGTTTGGGTAGTCTGGTTTCTCTGCAAGCGCAAAACAACACTCATTCACGAGAAAATGGACAAACATCCGAATGCAGGAACCTCCTCCAAAGGAAATGCGAGCCCAAGTGTGGCATTTGTAGGCGAATTATTGACATTATTACATTCCTCAATAAGTAACCTACCAAAATGACCCACCGCGTGAACCACGTTAACAATGACACATTACAGCAGTACAATGTTGTCCTTTACATCCTCACCACATCAGCCTATTCAAATACAACATCCTCAACACCCACAAGCCTTCACCATCACAACTTCCACACCACCCAGGGCATCTTGACCACATGACCCACATTCACAACGCGTCAATTACATCGTGACAATTACCCATATCATCAATGAATCAATAACACCACAAACATGAGCAATCGATGCACGTCATCACCACCACCCACAACAACAACAACAACGATTCATTGACATCTCATCAACACATCTCACTCCCAGAACCAACTCTCCAACAACGTCAACAACCACGTCAACAAATGTCTCGACCATCATCTCGCTCCGACCTCCTCCTCATCATCCCACACCACCTGCTGGGTGCTGAGATCGAGGCCGAGCACCAGAGCCCCCCTCGGGGTCGACATTGAATCCAGCTCGGTAGGGGGAGCAGCGAGGAGGAGTGGAGGAGGCGGATGGCGACGGATCCTCTTCTCTGCTCCAGTGTCGGTCCCAGTCTGCTCCCTCTCCTCCTCGTTGTTGTTGTCGGTGTTGTTGGGTCTGGAGGCTCCTCCCGGCTACCCCTGATACACCTCCCGGCCTCCTGAAGCCCCCCTCTGGCTTGCTCCGCCCGCCTCTCGCTGCACGTCTCTGACGAAATCAGCAGGAGCAGCAGCAGCCTCGCCCGTACTGTACACACAACGAACTGTACATGTGTCACGCACAACGCACTGCACACGTGCACTGCGAGTGCACTGCGAACACATCACAATGTACACAACACACTGCACACACCACGTGCACTATACACACTGTACACTGCGCATCACGTGCACTATACACACTGTACACTACACACACCACGTGCACTATACACACTGTACACTGCACACCACGTGCACTATACACACTGTACACCACGTGCACTATACACTGTACACTACACACACCACGTTCACTATACACACTGTACACAACACACTGCACACCACGTGCACCGCACACAATGCACTGTACAAACCGCACACTACACATATAACACTGTACACATATAACACTGTACACACCGAACACGGCACGCACCAAGCACTGTATACGTACAGCAGCACCCACGTGCGTGTACAGTAGACACTGTTCGCACTGTACAACGTCGGCACTGTATGCGCAGTGAAAAGTGGCCTTAAAAGAACAGTAAATGATCAACATTGTATTTGTCTGGCAACAAAACAGGTGTTAAGATCAGTTTAACACGTAGTAGGCTTTCGCGACCAATATTCATAATAAAGGTTTTTGGGTGAGATCGCGTTATTTATAAATGTGTCGTAACCCTCCACCACCCGACACGGCCAAACAGTAAAAAATAACAATTGAACGATTACCAATCTATATCATTACAATACCCCCCATCCACCTCTGATCTCTGCACCTGATTGAATTGAATGATGACGTCACAATGCTGCTGCTCTATTTAAGACCGGGAGCAAGAGGAGGGCTTCACCATTCTGGCAAATCGCCCCTTGAAGCTGGATGTAATTACCAGCGAAACGTCGTACTACTCAAATTTTACATGATGTTGATTCGCTCTTCAACACACCGGTGGGCTAAAGAAGTGAATTATTTTGTCCTTTGAAAAACGTGACACTTTTTTTTACTGTTTGGCCGTGTCGGGTGGTGGAGGGTTACGACTCATTTATAAATAACGCGATCTGACCCAAAAACCTTTATTATGAGGTGTTAAAACACCAAACTGAAACCTTTTACAAGGAATCGTGTCTGCATTAACCACAATGCTTGTGGTCAGAATGCAAATAAAAAAGATACTCTGAAAAAATGCATTGTCTTTGAAACTGATTGGTCCAAACCAGAGACAGCTTTCTTTTGAGCCTTGTCTCAAACGGTATTAGATCAGAGGACGCCAAAAGGCGTACAGCCTGCATATATACGCACAATTCCTTGTAAAAGGTTTCAGTTTAATGTTTTAACATCTTAACACCTGTTTTGTTGCCAGAAAAACGGGGAAAACCCTATTATCATATTTTGGTACTGACAAAGGAGGTCCCATGATGATTTGATTTGTAATTCAGAAATTGCAAATGCATTTAAGATCTAATTAACGATAGTTTTCGAGAATAAATTGAGGTTCATTCTGCTACACTACAATACGTGTAGTTAGAACCCCCGTGTATTGTACGTTCCTGATCAATAATTTGCATGCTTAATACAGCATACAGCACGATTACTGCAATAGAACCATTTACATATATTTTTTTACATTTCAATGGAAACATCCATTGATTCTGCTGAATGAACCCCTCGGCTATTCGAGTGACTTTGCAACACGGCTTACAATTCGGCGCAGACAGTGGTAGTTTGGTTTATATTTTAAGAAATGCTAATCTCCCCCACCTACACTAGATGGCGGACTTTGCCTACAAATAGCATACAAGCAGCCACAACAAGACGAACGCTGCCAGGAGTGCACGTGCTGAAATTTAATAACAACGCGAGTGATCTTCGACCAGCAATACAATAGAAGCTTTCAAAATAATCACATTTGAGATGTCGACTAACTCCTAGGCTTTCTCAAAATCTTCATTCCACGCGTGTTGCCAATGCTTTTGTGGAAATGTGGAGGTCTGGGAAGGAATGAAAATCACAACGTAAAATGTTAATACACCGAAATGCGTGTACAGGGACTCCTCCAATTAGGAACATTCGACTTACGAACTTTCACAGATACGAACGATCCTGTCCCTATGTCCAAGTTGCCTGTTCGAACCGAGATTCGTAAGTTCAACCGCCGCGCAATAGATGGCGGTGGTGGCATCTACATTTGCCGAACATGAACCAATGGCATCTACATCTACAGAACGTGAAGAAGCAGTGACATCCACATCTACAGAACATTATGGACAAGTGGCATAAACATCTACAGAATATTATGAACCAGTGACATCTACATCTACAGAACGTGAAGAACCAGTGGAATCTACAGGAGATTATACAACTTTACGTTTTTGGAGTCCCTGTAGTTTTATCGACACAGCTAAAACAGCCATTAATTATTTTTCACCTTAAGCACAGTCTAAGACATTTATGTCTGCCTGTCTTTTCCATTTAGGTGTATTTTAAATTCGCAATTATTACTGTGTAACAGTGAAAGGAGATTGACAGGGCTGATAACAAAAAACCAAGTGAAAACCTCGGGATATACTCTCAAGGCAAAAGTCAAGTTGAGGTGTCTCCCTGCTCACAGGAGCAATGTTCATCTTCATTGGCAGCCCTATGGCAGTTGTGGGAAGAAGACAAAATCGATTTTCATAGCAGGAGTCAGTCTCACCACAGAAAAAAAATAACTTTATTTCTCAGAAGACAAATAGTAGTGTGCTTGTTTTACCCAGGAAATCCTCGCTAAGTCTCATGGCAGCTTTTCAGGAGGGTCCTGCCAAGTTTTCTTCAGTATGGCGCGATGATTGCTACGTACTGGGTGTGTCTTTAAAAGTAGACTGTGCTCAAGTATCGTGTTTTTCCAAAACGCTTGGGTATAGTTTTAAAAGACACGCCCTTTGTGTTACAAATTATTACTTAGTGCATAATTTTCCAAATACACACCATGAAGCCGACACACTTTGGCCTTCTCGTGCAAATTACATCATGGGATCTTTAACATCTGCTGTAAAGCAGACGGTACGTACTTGTCTGGTTAATACACAGCACATCATTAATCATGGTGACCACTGGATTCGAACCGTGAACCTCTGAAAAAAGCGACGAATGCGCCACCGCTTGGCCACATCACCGGCTCAACGCCACTATAAGAAGTGCAACATGCACAGATCATTTGCTCAGATGTCCCAATCATAATAAAATGTCTGGCCTTCAAAGGCATTGCACCTTTAAGTGGGTAAAGCAGAACACTGTAAGCTTAATCAGTCTGAACATTACCCTTGGCTCGGAAGTGGCAAGATGGCACAGATGGCGATCAGCTATCGGTGCTTCTGGTAAAAGCACTTAGCAGTTGCCGTGCTGCAGAGACATTTTCTGCCTTGCTTTGCGCTCAGTATGACATTGAAGTGGAAAATGTGTATCAATTTTGATCTCTTTGACAATGGGAATTAATATTACTTAAAAATGTAAATAATATAAAAATAGCTTATAAACTTAGTTTGGAGGTTGACTTGGTTCATTGTTCTGAGCTTCATAAAATGAGGACCATGATATGAAATGAGCAGTGGTTGTCCAGTGGAGAGTTTGGCTCTCACATGAGGAATGTGGAATTTCCACTACTGGCCCACGGTTTCTTAGGAAGACAGTATGACTTGACTTTTCAACAACAACTAAAACATTACATAACGAAAATGTAGGTATTTAACCTTTCTAAGATGGAATGCAAAATTGTTCTGAATAAAACAGATTGAAGTCTCTACGATGAAATTTATTTCAGATTCAGTTCCATGTACAATATCCGAATAAAAGTCTTTCACCAGATTTTTGTTCAACCTGTAGGTTTTAAAACATACTTTTAAGCCGCGACTTAAGGCTTTCGTGACTGCAGGAATTCATATTATTCATATTACTTTACCGAAAGACTCAAAGAATATACTTTTAACCCTCAAACATATATCAGCAATCCAGGAACAATGAGCAAGGAGGAAAAATGTGAGTCAAAAGTGTGGGGTGTTCTCATCGATATTGGTGGGCTTGAATCCTTCGTGGGAATAAAAATGAATGTCAGAGGCCAATCTCAAAGGAGTGTTTTTACTTTTGTGCGGAAAGTTGAGTACCTATAGCAATGATGGACTGTAAGGGTATAACGACGAATCAATTGATTGACGAATATTGATTCTTAACGCTCATGATACTTGCATTGAATTGTATGTATTATGCACATTGTATGCATACAATATTCTGATACTACTATTAGGAGTAAACAAAACCATACACACGAGAGAAGAAAAGGAAACGATATAAAGAAGAATTTAGTCATGGCTTTGAATTGCAACAATGTATCAAATAGCCAGAGAGGAGGGGATAGATTCTTACAACCCTAATTAACTTTCAGCCCCTCACCAGAATTTTAACTCGCACCCTTCTGAGTGCTCTAACCATACAACACCACTAGGCCAGATATTCGGGGTCGTGAAAAGCCATGATGATAAGCACTTCATGATAATGCCTGAGTACGACCTCTTTCATTTGTTTATTTAATCGCAAATTTTATCCGATAAAATCTCATTCCGGGCTACTCTAGAGCATTCGCGAATTATTGTCAGCCATGATCTATCATCTGTTGAACGAATGGCTGCTGTACAGCATTATGGTTAATAAAATAAACATCTGCATTCGCCTTTTCACATAAATATAAAACAGTCCATCAGCCGCTGAGATTTCTGACCATTGTCCAGCAGCCTTTGTTTAAGCAAGCAATCTCTGGAAATATGTTGATCTTTTATGCATCATCATCATAAGCAGCAGTAGTCAGGTTTGGACATATATAGGCTCATGGTCTAAACTACTTTGATGGAGAGACATATGGATATCTGTTTAGTTATTTGATTACCCATACTGCTCAACAGGAGTGCATAATGAACTTTGTATGCTGAACAGGGCACCATTGTGAAGGAGTGCTGTTGCCAATAACACCTGACAACCCATCAGTATTTAACAAACCTTCCTATGCTGATGACATCCATAAGCTCAAACCAGGCCAGACTTTGCTTGCTTTAACAAACGCTGCTGTAAAATAATGGACTAGAAGCACATG